CAGGAGGTGGCCCCATGCCTGCTAAGCAGCACAACCTTCAGCTCACACATGCACATCCCCACACCACCATCAGCCCCAGCGAGCAGGGCAGCTTTTCTGCTCTTGACCAGGTGACAAAAGGCCAATCTCTGCAGAGTCATTAAGGAGAGCAGCAGGTGTTGCCAGTTCCCTATGCAAAGCAAATTGCAAATTAGTTTTCCACTTTCTACTAAATTGAGGGGGACTACATTGTCCTCCTTTTGATTGTTGTACTTTGGGAACATAAGTAAACACTTGTTCTTTAAAATATACACAGCAATTGTATGTTTATGTACTTATGAGAGAAACTACAAGTTTACTTCTTTACTCATTTTTGCTTTGGCCAGTGACATTTAATCCCAGTGAAGCTGCAAGCTCTGCTTTCAGTGTTTTCCATGGTAAATGTCACTGCTACAGTGCTGCATTCACCAACTCTAAAGTAGCTTTTATCAGCAGTGATGCCATGTGCCAGTGTTCCCAGACTGCTGGCTTAGCTTATTTTCTTTCAACAGCTGTGGAAAATATCTGAAGCACAAAGGCAAGAACTATTCCATTTTTATATAAAAGTGGTTAATAGGAAATTAGATTTACAGAGTTGCTGAAGGTAAATGTTGTATTCTGATCCTTTACTTTTAAACCTCCATTAATATACAGCTTGATTTGTTTCTTTTACTGTTTGGAATTTGGTTAGATTGAATTGGCAGTGAATTTTAGTATGTAGGACTTAGTTTATAGACCTAGCTGTGAGCCCAGGCAGCCAGTGAGCCAATTTAACAGAGAGCTGGGCATTTCCTTGCATCAGAGGTGCATATGAATGGTGTGGAGAGACCTGTAGCACTGGCTTCTGGAACAATCCCTTACAGCTTCTTGGCAACAAAACAGGAACCCCCGGTGACCAGGAAAGTCCTTGGACAATTGCAACTCAAGAGGTCACAAAAGTGACACAAAAATTGTCTTGGGCCCCCTTTTTCCCCCTTTCTGCTGCCTCATTAAGGAAGGCTGAACCCAGAGATTTTCAGAGACATATCTCATGCAACACAAATATTCTACAGGCAGCCTTTTAGCTGAAGTAAATAGATTCTGAGGGAAACAGATAAAGGGAAAGAGATTTCTGAGGGAAACAACATTTGCAAATGCTGTTTGTAAATAGATGCTTGAGGGAAACACCCTCAATAGCTGCTTGACCTTGTAGAGGGCCTGGTCCCTTGTCCAATAGATGCCTGCCTCCTCCCCAGAGAATACTGGTGATTGCCATGGGAGATACTGGCATTCTGCTGGTGGGGAAAAGCAAAAGCCTTGGTCTTTTCAAGGTGTAAGACATCAATCATTCTCCAAAATTTACTTTTAAATAGTGCTTTGAAATTCACTAGTAGGACTGCTCACCTTCTCATCTTTGAGGAAGGCTGTAGGTGATTCTGTTCCTTTCCATCATCCTTTCCAGTTTGTGTACAGCAGGAGCTGAACAGCAACATTTCTACCTTACACCTTCTGCAATGGTTCCTTGTCTTTATAATGTACATATTTGTTTTCTCTGAAGTTTTCCCTGTACATCAAACACTTGAAGAGTGTATGATGACACTTGAAGAGTTTATGATGTTGGACTCCAAGCAGAAGGACCACTGGTTTCCCTTCCTGCTGGCAGTGTGAGAGAGAGTAAATTGGACTGGTCAGACCAGATTTTTGGAGAGGAGTTGCCACTGCAATTGCAACTACACCAGTTCTAAGCAGGACATGCCTGTAGACACGTACTGAAGGTTAACTGAAGGTCACTTTTTAGTTCTGACTTACAGAACAAAGCCACCAGTTCAGATAGGGATCTGCTGGTGGGTTTCAGCAGGTTTATAACAGTCTTTTTCATGGCCAGTTCCTAAATCCAAACATTTTGGGATAGGAACATCTAGAGTTATATACCAGAGTATTATATGAGCATTTTGCATACAGAAATCCTATAGAGCCACATCTGCTTTGCCCTCTTTGAACTCATATGTGTGGAAATGGAAAGAGCAGAGGACATGAGTTATGATCAGACCATGTTTTTTTAAAGATGCCAAGTCCATCATCTTCCTGATCCTTTTTCCTGCATGCAAGTACTTTTCTGTGTATCAAAGGGCATCTGAGAGGCAGCTTACAAATTATAAACAGTCAGTAGAAAATAAAAACTGAATGCATCATATCAAAACCTGAATACAGGAGAGGTATTTTATTACTATTTTAATTTTGATAGCTGTCTTTCTGTTTTGTACTTCAGCAAAGTAATAAGAGAGCTCACTGTGGCCTTCAGAGCTACACAGAGATTCACAAATTTATTCTTATTTCATTACATCTTTTGTGAGTACACTTAGTTTGGAATTCACTGTGGCATTTACCTTTATGTGTGCATCTAGACACAAGAATACCAAAATACCAAAAGGAATGGAGCTGCTGGCCAGGCTTAATAAAGGGGAGAAGTAGGATGAAGTCTATGGCTCAATAAAGACAATGACTGTAAAAATTCAGCTTTTTCTAAAACCAGTTCTACAGTTCTCAACTTCTGGGCCCAGTAGAATGTTAGGATGGCTACCTGACCTAAGTCATATCCACAACTATATATTGTGTATTGGTATATTTTGTGTCACACTGTGGAAAGTAAGGGACCAGTGTTTGAGCTTTCATTGTAAGTAGAGGCTAAAAGAGTGCAGAGCTATTCAAGAAGGAAGACAGCTGGAAGGGTGCCTGAGAACAGGGATGCAAAGAGAGATGAACACCAGTGATCACAAAACAAAAGGAAAGAGAGGATGGGTGGGAGACATCTCAGAGGATTGGGTAGAGTACAGACGAATTGGTGGAAAAGGATGGCACTGAGGAAAGGACAGGGGAAAGGATGGCAATAGAATGGAGAAAGGGCCAGGGAGCAGTGAAGATAGAACAATATGTCTACTCCAGGTAGCTCTGCTGAGGAAGGGGAAAGTGGAGTTTCTGTTCAGCAGTGGTGCACATTTTGGTCTGTTCCCTTAAAACCAGATTTTGAATAGGAAATCAGTAGTTAGACTGTATATTCAACTCACAAAAATAATAACCAGTAAATCATTTTTTGGGGCTTTGGGTGTTTCTTATGCACTTATCTGGAACAGGCCAACTTCTGCAGGGATGCTGGTGGGTTTTGCCTGCAGACACAGCAGAACAAATTGTTTCCTATGCCTACATTTACAGTACAGAAACAAATGTTATTACCAACAGAGATACCTAAACATGCCTTAAGTTACATGTCAGTAGCCATGTACCAGCATCACAGCCAACATTCATGCAAATTAATCAAACTTTCCAGGAAATATGGCAAAATGCATTATTTAGTTTACAGATACGGAAAAGTTTCTTTGAAATGCAAAAAGGCAGCATGTGTAGTTGGTTTGTGTCCTTACTCACCAAGCCAAATGTACAAAAAACAGATCTGCATTCTCAGTAGATTGTAGAGTAGGCTATAAGGTCCCAGTGTGGATGTGCTTTAATCAGGTTCAGCAGGAGGTTTGAAACCACAGTATTCTTCTCTGATTTCAAAACTCTAGGATGTAAAGATGATGTGTTCAGCTTCTGACCTATATAATACAAAATTCATACAAAATAAGTACATAGTTGCAAGTTTCAAATTCAAGTAGCTGTGGCTGTTGATATCCTAAAACTTCCAGATTAAAACTGCATACAGCACGTTACTTGTAAGGGACTCTGAGAAAACATCAGCAAAGTCTTGCATTAATAAATAGTTCAATTGAGATCAACAATAAAATCAGAACATTTTTAGAAACAGTATTACAGTCTGTTGATTCTGGTCAGAAAACACAGCATTGCAGTCATCACATCCCCAAGCTGTATTTCTGGGGCTATAATCAAGGCAGAGAATAGTTGAGAGAATTTGGAACTCCAAATCTGTTGCTGCTTTTTGCTGAGGCAAGGTGCTTCTAACCAGATTATCAGTGGGATCTTGCCATGAAGCAGAAAGGAAATGTTCTGAACTAATTGTTACAGCCTTGAAGCAGAAATTCAGATTTTTTTCCCCCCACCAGTATAATATCTTTCACAAGCTGGTGAAGTTGGAACAAAAAAAAAAGTGAGTTTATGGGGTATAGGGCCATGATTTTATAAAAGAACTCTTTATTTCCATGTAACCCCAGCTGTGCAGAAAAGTGCTGATTACATGGTATTATTTAAGTTTAGTAAGAAATTTCTTGCCTGAAATCAATTTGGATACCAAGTGGAGTGCCTAATATACCCTGGTTTCAGCCTTTTACTTTTAAGCAATCTGTTTTTCAGTTGAACAATGTCTAAAATTAAAAGAGTACTTTCTTTTATTGTTAACATTTATAAGTGAATTTGAGATCTCTGCTCGAAGGACATGACATGTTTTTACCACAACTCCTTCCTTCTGTATGCTTTTAACTGTCTCCTAGTGTTTATTAAAAATAAAAAATAAAATCTAGTCACACATATCAGCTAATAGATTCTTGTGAAGGTCCTAATTCATCAGCACACTTTTAATGAACTCTTAAGTGTTTTACTGACTTAAGCCAAGGTTCAAGAGGTTTATAACTGGATCCCAGGTTTAATCCTAATTAAATTTCTTTGGCTTTATTATGTGCACAGATTTAATGACTGACATAACACAAAGCTGTGAGTGAGAGTGGAAGTTGTTTTGGTTATAGACCCATGAATCAAGGAATTGTAAACTTTTCCTTCATAGAAATAACTGTGCCATCTCAGAGGTCTTTTTCTCCTTCATAACATGTAAAAAAATATGGTATTTTGAATATGGTATTATTTGGTACTTTGAAGCAATGTGTTTTGTTTGCCCCTCCTATTTTTTTATATTCACCTGCCTTTTCTGGGTTTTTAAATATATTTTTTGAAATCTATTTTTTGTGTAAATGTAATGCTAAATCAATATACACTTAATTCTTTGCTGTATGAAAAAACTCATTACTTACTTTTGTAATGTGTTTCATCTCTTTTAGATATTGTGCAATGGACCAGGAACATGTGTTCCTGTCTGTTTATCTGCTTTTCTTCTTGGCCTTCTACGAATAAAGAGAACAATTATTGTGTATGTAGAGAGCATCTGCCGTGTGGAAACTTTATCCTTGTCTGGAAAGATTCTTTACTACTTTTCAGATTATTTCATTGTTCAGTGGCCTGATCTAAAGAAAAAATATCCCAAGTCAGTGTATCTTGGTCGAATAGTGTAACAACAGAAGACAAGATAAACTTTACCTGAAATAGATTCTACAAGCTCCTCACTTGCATTCCTGTAGTAATTTATTTTCCAGAATTCCTGTTACTATATTAGGCTGGTACTTAAAAATGAGACAATAAAGATTTCTCTACATTTAAGTAAAATTTGTGTGTATTTATGTTTATTGCTAACATGTAGATCTGTGTGCCAATCACTCACACTGGCTCTAAGTCTATCCTGTCTCTGTTTTCATCTAGTTTTTCTGCTATGTGAATGGTAATTCTTGTCTACAAATAAATATGGGAATTTGTATGAATGTAACATTTCCTGTAAGGAAACTTTGTGTCATTTTTAAAATTGCAGGCAACAAGGTCTTTTTCTAGCACAACAGATTTTACTTCCTTCATGCTAGTGGTGAAGTCCCTTGTGATCCTTAGAGAATAAAGAAAACAGTTATATTAAGCTGGCTTCATGACAGTTTGTACTTTACAGTCTTCCAAAACCCCCAGAGCATTAAACAAGTATCATTTTTCCCTCTGGTCTTGTCAAGGCTGTCCTTATAATCTGTTGTGCACCTTTTGAAAATTGTTGCTCACTTCTTAAGATGAATAAAAAGGTGACAAGTGTCATGCTACAGGCACAATACTTACCCATTTAAGAAGAATTTCTTCAAAGCTTATGTGCAAAAAGCCTTACCAAATCTACATCAAACAGAGCAAAACTGTCAGTTGGGGAAATTGAACTGGTTCAAGCTCTGAAATAGAGAAAAAAAAATCAGTAATGAGGGAAAGAACAGTTTCCCTCTTTTCCTGATACAGTGAATTTGACTTCCAGTATATCCTGTTTTCTCATTTTAAGCACCTTACTTTGAACAGTACAATTTATACTTAAGACTTTGCCATGAAAAATGGTATCCTGTACATTGGAACAGCTTTTAAAAGGAATCTTGTTGGCAGTAAACGTTTGAAAGCATACTCCAGCATTTCACATTTATCTGGCAAAGTGTAATTCTACAACTATCCCACCTATAAGGCAATGTAAACACATCTGTCATCTGTACACACAGAGAGCTCTGTGGCTGGCTACAGAAACATAAACAAAGAGAAAAGCTCAAAGAAGAGGAGAAACGCCCTCCAGAGAGCACAGCCTGCCTCTGGTGGAGCCCAAGCAGCTCCTCATGAGGAGACTCAGGGAGGGCTTTTTCTCAGCGTCAGATGGCAAAACATTGCAGCAGCTCTTCTGGTAGGGAACTGGGTGGAATTTAGCTCAACAGAAACCATAGTTCCTGCTGTTAGGAAACAAGGGTCCAGAGGAATAGGCTGCTTCATGCAGAAAACCATTAGAAATCATCAGAAAACATTGTGCAGAAAACTGCTGTCATGATATTGCAAGGCCCTGTGGGGAAGCCAGCTGTTACAACCTGTCCAACAGGCTTAATAATCCTCAGCATAAGCAGAGTCCCTTGATGTGGTCACATGTGAGAACAGGGAGTTTTGTGGGTTTTAACCAAGATTATGTCTGAAATTAAAGAGCAGTTAATAGGTTAAGGCTGTGTGAGAAGGACGTTGTGTAGCACATACTGAGGTCCTTGAAAATGACTTGGTTGAAGTAAATCTGATGTGTCCAAGGGCTTTTTTCCCCTGAACCAAAGCGAGGACTATCTTATCATGACTTTCTGCACAGTTGCAGATAGTTTGATAAGCTGGAGATACACTGGACTCTATTATGGCTAATGGTAGTTTATTTTAGATCGGTGCTTTCTGTTTTACAAGGGAACTAGAGTAGAGGGGAAGGGGACAGAGGCAGCCTCTGCCTCTGCTCTGGGTAAGGGGCAACAGCCCAGGCTCAGTGTGCTGGGGTTTAGAGAAGGCTGGCAGGAGCAGGGCAGTGCAGCTGCCATTGCTGCAGCCCAGGCCCAGCAGTGAGGCCGGGGCTGCCCTGCCCCAGCACAGCCGGGCCGCGCTGCCTCCATTCCGAACACAGCAGGAGCGGCCCCGGAGGCCTCGTCCCGCTCGGGGTTTTCACCTCAGCAAAGTCATCCCTGGCTGCCCCGTTACTCCCTCAGAGCCCTGCCCAGGGCAGGGTTTGGGGTTTTGGTGTGCTTCCCAACTGCGGGTTCATAAACTTTTGAGTCTGCCTTTGAACACTGTGGAGTTCCAGGAATTTTTTTCACCTGTCACCAGCATGGCAATGACTACTGCTAAAAGAAAGAACTTGCCTGTTCAGAATTGTCACCTCCCATGTAAACACTCTGAAGGTAACAGTAGATTTCTTCACAGGAGGCTATACTGAAAAACTGAATTGCACCAGGCCATCTGATGTGGAGTAGTCTCATTTTCAAGGATTTGGGAAGACTTTTCCCACTTTTCCTCACTGGCTGCCTTCTGGGGGAGCAAAGTCAAGAATATCTCAGTCTATGTTCCCCCACAGCATGTTATTTACTCTGGGAAACATAGGTTAAAATAGCACATATGAAGTGGTTTTTAATGCAGATTGTTGGCTATGAGGGTGTGGGTTGGCACCCATTCCCTGGGACTGCTATTTTCTTAACTGGCTCAAGTGCCTACTTGAGTTAAGGGCATTTACTTTTGAGCAGTATATAATTAGTTCTAGCAAGTGAAAACCTGGATTAGAAATGACCCAGGAGTCTCTAGATTTGAAGCAGTTAGAACCAAAATGGGAAGATCACAGCCTAACTGACCAAAGCCTTCAACAGAACACTGCATCACAGTCATAGGAGATAGTTCAGAAAAAAAAAAGACTTTGGCTCAAATTCTCCTAAAGGAAATTTTGCTATCAACCAGAGTGACTTTTCCTTGAGAAGATTATTGCAAATAACTGCTAGTTCTCTCCAAAAGCACAGTGGGGCTGAAGTAAACTAGCATTTTGTTATTGAGAAGCTCTTTCTTATCTTTTGTTTTTAGAAGGTGGGTACAACCAAACAGTCTATTGTTCTAGGGGAAAACTGCATTCTTCCTCTCCCAGAACAGAACAGAAAACAGCTCTCCCAGGGTCTAGCTAAAGACTTAAAGGTCACTGACTGGATTCCTTAAGTTTAGATTCTTGGGGTTTGCTATGTCTCATTTTTTTTCCCTTAAACATTAATATTATGGCAAGCACATTTGCATTACATACAAGGAATGTTTGATGCGAAATACATTACCTCTTTTTCTCCATCTCCAAAAGAGGAAACAGTAATACCTTATAGATTTGAAGCAAAATGAGGAAGAAATATATTCTTAAAGAAAACAAACATGACTTTATGGAAATATCATCATCAAAATTGGCAAATATTTTCAAAGAGAACAGAAGGCATCCAGAAACTCATTCTCTGGATCCTAGCATGGAAGCCAAATTCTAAATGAATTTTCTTTATCAGATTGCTTTATCTAGATATGCATTAGCTGACAAATAATAAATATTCAGAGTTACTTTACTTTGTTTAGTGCCAAGAAGCACCATCCAGTTGAAGACATTTTTGCCCCACGCTTCAGGGAAAAAGCACAAAAGACTCGCTGTCACCATTTCTCTCTAGCAACTGTGTCTCTCACATCTCCCCAGTGGAAATGAAGGGTTCTGGGTAGATGTTCCATGGCTGTTCAAACACACTGCACACACAGTGCTTGTGTCTCCTTCACAGCACGTTTGTGTTGCCTTTGCAGGGCTGAGGGAGCTGCCTGGCTCTCAGTACTCTGATAAGCCTCTCCTTGGCTGGCCCCACGGGCTGTGCCAGCAAACTCCTGCTTGTTCCAGAGCTGGGTGAGGATCTAGCAAAGCAAGCACTGAGCCCTCAGGCTGCTCACAGCACAAACTGAGCCCCAGACCTTGCTGAAACTTGAATTTGACTTTTTCCAAAGACCATACTTCCTGATAGCATAATGGCAGTCTCATGACCAGTATTGTTGAAATCAATAGGAAGTACTCAGAGGCAGAGGTCACCTTGCATAAGCTTCTTGGTAAGAACCAGAACTTTGCACAAGAATTCAGGAGAACCAGTAGCTCTCACAGTAAGAGCTTTAGACACTTTTCCTCTCATTGCTGTTTCATGCTGCAGTGGCAAAGGAGAAGGAAATGAAAGTGACATATGATACATGAAGATGGACCTTTGTTGACATACTTATTTCAGCTCAGGTCACTATTCTGCAGAGTATAACATTTCCCATTTAGAATTTCCTGTATCTATTTCACTCCCTTGCCCAAAATTTTTTAACATGTTTTATAATCCAGTTCATTAACTAGTCAGACATAAGTATGCCTGCAACAGAAATAAGCAATCTCACATTTAGCTGTGTCAAGGATTGGCTTTAACCATGCATGCATCTATAAAAAGATGCATTTGTTGATTGATAATGTGAGTTTTACACACACCCTGTGTTATCTTTGTGTGTACCTGAGAAATAAAACTAAACAAGGTGTTTGATGTGTTTGTTATTCTCTAACAAGAGACAGAGCAGGAGTAATAATATTTAACAGGCAAAATGGGGGAAATGAGGGTCTCTCTGAGGAATGTTTAAAAGAACTTATAACACTTTATCAATTAAGATATTATGCATATTAAACAAGTGTATTGTAAAGTGATAAATTAATGAACAGTAGCGCACAGACATTAGTCCACTGTTCCACCCAGAATGTTGGAATGTTTCTTTTTTTTTTTTTTTTTTGAGGAAGTGTGTTGGGGGTGTGGGGTTTTTTAATACAAAAGTCAGATATTGATGACTATGCAGTGAGATGACCTGGACAGTACTGGATTTAGGAAACTGCTCAAAGAGATTTTGTATAAACTTCAGAGGAAGAGAAAGAAAATATTCTTGGATTGATTAAATTGGCCTTGTACTATGCAGCAGCAAATAATTTTTAAAGGAGTTCATAAAAAGGTTCTAGTATTTTTTTAAATATTGTGACTTAGGAAGTATTTTAGACCCTACAGTGAAGCTGCTGTGCACAATCCTACCCCTTCTATGCATCAGTGCACAGTAGCTTTTTAAAATCAAGAAGCCCTCTCCTTGGTTTAAGGAGGAGTGGACATTTGTGATGC